AAATGATGACATGGTGTAATATGTCATGTGTTGTTGTTCCTCTGAGGTTGTAGTTACAGTACCTACTTTTGGGAACTGCTAAGGACCAGATGATTTTTATTATGTCCTGATACGTAAAACCATAAAACTCAAAGAGGGTGTACTTTCTTTTTCACATGATTATAGGGTTGAGGCACTGGATATGTATTTTTATGATCTTTCCAGTATTTTTCAGTTATAGGACTTTCCTTTTTCCCAAAGCATGATTACAAAGCTATAGTGTTGCAGAGGAGATTCAATTCAATCACTTTAGATGTCATTTCCATAACTACAAAACTAGGACCACATGAATGTTGAATTCATGTCTTAAAAGCTTAACATAAAGTACAGGCATTTTTAATAGAATTGTAGACAAAATTTCTGCGAATTTAAAGAGAGCTTCTAGGTTATTGCTATACAGATACATTTTTTGTTTTGCCCAAGTGTTGCCAATGTTTGATATAAACAATTTATTATTGACATTTTGAATAATTTCTAATTTCTGCCTCCCATCCAGTATCCCACTAATTTGATTTATCACTGTATAAACATAGGTCTCGCTCACATAACAAGCCATATTATATTTTTGCATAGTTTTTAATAAATTGTAATTGGCTGGATTTGTACAACACACTAAGCCATAAAACAGGCTGGGGTCCTCACACAATGCACTAAGCCAAAGTAAGCCAATCATGTGAACCCAGCCTTAGTATCCTTGAATTGAGAAGAGATCTTCTAATTTATGATACTTAACAATCCTAAATTAAACTTCTGTACTAAGGCTTAAAGGTATATACTTCTTTAGAACTACTCTTTCACACACATTCTGTAATCTAATATGTTCTTATGATCTTAAGCGATTGTTTTTTAAAAAGGGTAAACCATTGATTTATTTTCATGTAGGTGGTTTAAGAAATTTGTTACAGTTTTAGAGTCCATTTGGTCTAGTGGTTAAGGCATTAGGCTGGAACCCAGTAGACCATGAGTTCTAGTCCCACCTTAGGTATAAAGCGCTGGATGACCTTGGGCCAGTCACCCACTCTCAGCCCTAGGAAGGAGGCAGTGGCAAACCACTCCGAAATCTTGCCAAGAAAACTGCAGGGACTAGTTCAGGCAATTGCCAGGAGTCAGCACTGATTTGAAGTCACACACCCCCCCATTACAGTTTTTACTGATTCTCCTCAGTTTTGAATATTTACTTTGACCTAAATATTTGTTTTCCATGTTGTTCACTGAGCTACCAGTGTTTAATTTTCCACATCTGGTCCCATAGTCTCGTTTTGGGACCTAGGGAGCTGGGTCCCAGGGAAGTGGACAAAGTTTTAATATTAGCTCCACCACCTAAGGATTGGATCCTTGCTGCATCATGGTAGTGAAAGCTGCTAGGAGGTGACAGGTTGGGTTCAAGGGGTAGTAAACGCATCCTTGGGAGAGGGCATGATGTCACTTAACTTGAAAGAGGCAGTGGCACGGTATATCCCCTCCTCAAGAAGTCATCCCCAATCAAGCTGTTTTGGATAACTGTTGGACTGTCCCCTACTTTCCTTTTTAAGGAAGGTTGTTGAGAAAGTGGTGGGGTTGCAGCTACAGAGAGCTTATCTTTTAGTTCAGGTTCACTCATGGATATAGAACATAAACTGCAGTGGTCACTTTTTTTGATGATCTGTGGTAGGTTTGGGATGGTGGGAGGTTGACTCTCTTAGTCTTGTTGAATCTCTTAGCTACCTTTGATACCATCTTGACCGTGATATCCTTCTGCAGTAGTTGTGTAGGTTAGGAAGGGGGGGGTACTGTATGGTAGTGGTTCTCCTCCATCCTGAGTGGTTGCTTCCCATCACTGGGGCAAGGAGGGTGAATTGAGACACATACAAAACCCGATTCTCTACCAGCCTAAGCCTTCCTAAATCCAAGCAAACGATGTTGTGTGAATCTGGAGTAACTACCATTTCTGGTTAAGAGGAATTTGAATTTGTAACAAATATGATTTGTTGGCTTTAAATTCTTGTTTGTGGTAAAGGGTAGAAGGATGTGGTACCATACACTAGCACTGTCTCCCCAAATTACATCAATATGTGAAATTTACTTCCTTAATCTGTGCGTAACCTGGAAATACTGCTATACTGATAATGGCTATTGATTTGGGATCTAGTGCCAGTGTTAACTTTGGGTTCTTTTGTTTTGTTAACATTTTAGATACAAAATTAAGTAGCTTGTACTAGTTTTTATTTAGCAGGAAAATACTGTGATACATCTTAGGCTTTGTTTTGATTTGCAGATTCCTGATCTACCCAACAAGGCTCTTTACAGTTGCAGTCCAAGAAAAGAGAGATGTTCAAGAGCAGTTCCCTATTCAACAAAAGCAGATACAATTTTTTGAGTGGGCCTTTAACAAAATGGACACTTCTATCAGAAAAAATGGGTGCATTACTAAATCCCTTTTAATGAACATATTTCATGATGCCTGCAGAACAGGTAAAGGGTTGTCTGCTCACTTAATGTTACATTTAGTTTTTATTAAACATCATCAATGCAAATGTTTTGTTAATTTCTTAGAGTTATTAATACTGAGTTTTTTAAAAAATGCAACATTTTCATTTCTTTGGTGTCTTGTTTTAGAGGGCCTACAATAAGCATTTTTATTCTGTTTATTTGAGCTGCAGATGTGACTTGTAAAAAGTGTGATGTTATAGAAGATAAACATGTACTCAACAATGTGTAACATTAGAAGTGTAACATTAGATGTTAAGGAAAATCACACCTTAAGAGAGGAAAGGATTGCAATCTAGATGAAGGCCTCCATTCAATTAGTTTGTATGGGAAAAACCTACATTCACTGCTGTGTGCTTTATAATATAAATTGTGGGTGATGGCCCCTAATCTGAACCTCAGTGGAGTGAAACATTAAAGCTCCTCTAGCTTATGCTGGGGTTGACATTACAGTGTATTTGTGCTCTGGTGTGCTCTAGTAGTTAGCGGAACCCCAGTATATCAGCTGTATACAACTAGGAGTTTTATACACATTTGTGTGCATGCATCTCATGGTACTCTATATGTAGTTATGGCTATGTTTGCTTTACTGACTGCATACTTTACTCTGGCCAATATGTATTTGGCTGCTTAAAGAACACTTAATAGTTCAGGAAAGTATCTTGTTGCTGGCATAACAACAGAGAGATTCAATAGAAAGCCCCTTTGCACATCTCCTCTGCCCAGGAGGCTAGAATATCAAACCAGAGAAAAACCATTATTGTTTTAGTAATGTAGATGTCTAGCAGAAAGTTCAATTCCCCCCTTCAACCTGCAAATTCATACAGAGGTTCTGTATAGCTGTAGATTATTTTAAATTTCAGGTCCATACTATACATTTAGGCATATAAAATCTTATTTAAAATCTTTTCTCTTGTTTGAAAAGGGACAATATTTTACAGGTGTCATTTCCCCCCAAGATTTGGCAAAATGGGCTTTCTTTTGGTCTTGTATGTTTTTACTTTGCAGCTAGATTTCTTTTTTCTCCAAACATTGTGGTGTTTATTCCCCACTTTTCCTAATCTCTGTTCAGTGTTTTCTTTTCCTTTGTGGGGCCATTTTATAAATTGGTTCATTCCACTTTGTGATGGCCTCCGCGATAGCTGCTCATGATTCCAAATGAGCCAACGGGACTCCAGAAAATTTGGAGAAGTCTAATGAAAGTCTATAATAATAGCTAGATGCTTAATGAAGTATGCATAATGAAGTGTAGAAAACTATTATACATGCACATCTTTAGTTCAAAGTATCTCTAGCCAAATATGTTATATATGTAATAGTGTACTAATGCTTCCTATCTTTAAGATTGTACTTTTATATTTTCCTATTCTGTAAAGCTTGATTTGTTTTTCATTATTAGTTGATACAAAGAAGGACTAGAATGTTTAAAATGTTCAAAACCTCTTACTTATGGAAAGTTTAAAGATGTTGCATTTCTGAATTACCTTGTTCTAATTTAGGATTTCCAAATGGTAACCAGGCCTTGCTGTTGTTAAGAAGTTGTGGCTCATTGTTGCCTGAGCTACCTCCGCATGAAAGATCAGCACTTGTTCATACCATGTGGACAAAGCTGAAAGATATAGGTATGTTCTTTAAGTAAAATAAACCATATAGACTAGCATCTATATTTTAAAATAAATGATATTCTAGTATCATTCTACTATATATTGGGCATTCTTTAATACTGGTTGCTATGACATTTTTCAGGTCTGTTTCCATATTTTGAGAACTATGCTGACATCTAGGGGAGTTGATAGTAAAACCAAACCATTTTTATTTTCATCTTGAATCAAGTTTTACATTTACTGCTTTTGAAACCAAGTTTATTGATTTGGTGCTTTTCTTGTCAGATGATTAGATGAAATTCTATGCAATATTCCAACTGTGTTTTTTAACTGAACTAGCTGGTAGTGGTTCTTAAAGATTTTAGGTAACAAGTTAGGGTGTTAAGCATCAGTTTGGATGCTTGAGACTTAGCTCCAAACCTGACTTGGTGCTGCAGGAGGAAGATATGTACTTGTTCACTTCTTTTCTTTCCCTTCTCCCTTGCCCATATAGCTTAGATTCCCTATATTATTTCTGTGTTAACCACAAGTCATTGTTGCTCCAAACTTAAAGAGTGAAGATTGAAAGAAATCAAATGTCAGGGACTACTGGACAGTACTCCATATGCTGAAGTGCATAACTCACTGTTTCCCAACCTTATGTAGATGTTTTAGATGATATCTGCCACCAACCTTAGTTAGTTCCCATCATTTATGATAAACAGTAAAGTATTAGGAGTTGGATATATTTTTGTGTAATGGTGGCAGCTTTTTAGCAAGGCATCTTCCAGAACTGGTCTTACTCCAGCTGTATAGGTTGGCATTGGATAGGAAAAGAGTACCAAAAGTCCCCAATTTAAGCTGAGGCTTGTGTGAGCAACAAGGTCTGCCAAAATCTGATGTGTCTTGAATTTTAGTTTGCATGTTTTTATATATTGTTGATGTTGTGTTAAACAGTCATATGAATCTTTTATTGTACTAAATTTTATTTTTCTTTATAATTTCTTACTTAGGTGTTGTATTTGACGTAAGCCATTATAACGCTTTGCTGAAAGTTTATCTCCAGAATGAACATGCTTTCTCTCCAGATGAATTCCTAACAAAAATGGAAGAGGCAGATGTTCAGCCTAATCGAGTAGGTATTTCATAAAGGCATCACTTATTTTACCATTTGATAAATAGCAATTCTCATATTTAAATTCTGTTTTACAGGTCACATACCAGCGACTGATTGCTGCCTATTGCAACAAAGGAGACATTGATGGTTCCAGGTAACACAATAAACAAATAGCTTGAGATAAATCTTGTGGAACAATCTTATGTATGTCTATGTTGAAGCATATCCCATTGAGTTCAGTGTAACTTACTCCAAATCTTGAGAGTTTTGAGTGGACTCTGGATTTGCCTTTTTCTGACTAAGCCATGGTCCAATATATGGGTGGGACGCCAGTGGTCCACCAATGGCCCTCAAAGAATACTTAATTTTACCTGTTTCAATTAAAATATCTCCCCGAGGTTAAAATTGTGATTCTCAGGCACAATGGTAGATGGGCATGTATTCCTTTTTGCTAATCAAATTTTAGAATATTGTTCCATAGCTTTTTAAACTAATATAGTATTGCAGATGTCATTCTTTTATCTCTCTCTCTCTCTCTCTCTCTCTCTAGATATAGATAGATAGATAGATAGATAGATAGATAGATAGATAGATAGATAGATATGTACGGGTAGTAAACATATACATTTATTCCTGTTTTTCAAGGGAAAATATATCTGATTTTGTTTTCACTTGCAGCAAAATTCTTAATATCATGAAAAGCAAAGATCTCCCAATCACAGAGTTGATTTTCAGCGCCCTTGTGACTGGCCATGCAAAAGCTGGGTAACTTATACTTCTTACTCTTCTTCTCCTTAAGCCATTGCCTAATCTTAATTAATCTTAATTAGGCAATTATATTTTTAAATAATTTGAATAGTTACAATGAAGTATGTTTCATAGTGAACTCTCCTACCTGATTCAGAGATCTCTGCCCATTCTGATATGAATGAGGATCTCCTGAATTTAAGCATCTCTGCTCATTAATTTGAAGCAATAACTTTTTGTGTGTCTGCTAGGATTTGTGAGCTTGCTTGATCAATGTTCCAAGACATACCCTACGGGCCTACAAACATGTGAAGTTACAGTTGCATCTCTTTTAACTGATTTGGAATTGAAAATAGTTGCTGCAGGCTTAGCAAATTTGAGAAGGGGAGTTTTAATCCCTTCTTTTTCTGCCATAATGCTGTTTTTGAAACAAGCTGCCTACTACTTCAATATACATAAAAAGTTCAATACCATATGCATGTCATTAAACATAAATAATATGGCTAAGATAAGATTAAGACAACCCAAACCACAGATAAGAAAAGCAGCATGAGGAGATATTCAGCCTATATTAAGGAGCCTTTTCATACCACCAATAGAGTGGGCTTTTGGAAATGATTTTTCTGATATGATTGTGGCTTTTCAAAGAGATCCTGAATATCTATTATCGGATCAGTCCAAATCTCAAATTGATGAAAATATCCACATCTCATACGCTCTGATATTTTTTGCTCTGACACTCAATTTTCTTTTGTAGTTTGCCCTTGAATCTTAACATAGTCCCTGAGTCCCTTATACAAAAGCATAGTAGAATTTTAAAACTTGATGCTTTCCTTCCAATATATGCCATAGCTATCCTTTCGTTTTGCACCCATTCCCTTTTTACAGAGCCATTTAATTAAAGGTAAATAAACTTCTGGTTTCATTCATGGGCTGAGGACTAATGCCAGTCATGACATATGTATAACAATAATTTTGACACTACATATTTTTAAAATAAGTTTTTATATGGTATTTTTCTCCATAATATTTCAGAGATATGGACAATGCAACAAACATCCTTTCTGTCATGAGAGACACTAAAATTGAACCTGGTTCGGAGACTTATTTGGCACTATTGAATGCATATGCTGAGAAAGGTGACATAAACAATATTGAAGAGGTAATGACTTTTGTTTGTGAAGCTAGAACTTTTATTTCAGATTGCTGCACTTTCTGAATTTAATTTGCTTCTGACCTTTGTAGCTACAGTTCTTCCATATCTCGCTATACATGCTTCATATGAATCCAGAAAGGAAGATGATCCTGAATTTGAGATGGTCTTCCAAAAAAATGAAGATTACACAGGGAATGTGAATACACATTTAAATAAAAATGCACACAACAATCCTATGCAAAGCCTGATTTCATATCAGGTCAACTTAGGATTATCAGTGCCACCTTAAACTAATTCTGTATATATTTTTTTTCATCCAAGAAATATATGCATTTGATACACTTGCATAAGTGTCTGCATATATACCGTATTTATTGGCGTATAACACACACAGATGTATAACACGCACCTTAATTTTAAGAAGGAATTTTGAGTAAAAAAACGTAAATGACTTGGAAGCAAAATAAAGGAAGCTCTGAACTTTTTGTTTATTAATATTTATATCACTTATAAGGTAGATATGTAATATGAAAGAAAAAGCACCTCTTTGAATGAAAAAACTTAGATATTATAAGTTTTTACAAAAATTTTAATCAGAATCACT